TAACTCTGCTTCAGTGTTACTTTAACACTCTGTAGATTGGGACAATATGCACTCTGAGCAGAGTTGATTTAACTCGTGGGATTTTGCTGTGTAGATCACATAGGATTAGAATAGAGAGTGCTAGAGTTAGAGGGTCAAATAAAGAAGGAAGAGATGTGTTTTAGCCGTTTCTTGAAAATGGCTAAGGGCTCAACTGCTCGGATTGAGTTGGGCAGGTCATTCCACCAGGAGGGAACAGTTAATGAAAAAGTCTGTGAAAGTGATTTTGTGCCTCTTTATATAAGTTTACAAGTGTAGTTAGTGCATTGTCTTGTGTCTGTATTATTATTATCCTTGTCCATCTTATCATATTCATGTATTCACATAGACAAAAGATATCACTAATTATTTCTTGACTATACAGTGTATACATTTTCATGATTTACATATGAATCTGGACCTGTGATTTCACAACCCAACATCTCTTTATTCAATGAGCTGCAGGGCCTCACCAGATCAGGACCGACCAAATTTCTATGCTGTTTGAACTCAGTCTAGATTACGAGAAACAGTCTGGATTAGCTAAATGCCTATGGTGTTCACATAGATTTACTCATTACTCAGCTGATGCTGAGAGGCAACACATTCTATTTTAAGTATACCAAGTTCTTCTTTTATGCAAAGGCAAAGTGTGATTCATTACTGATCAATGGTTATATTCTAGCTTCCTGACTATTTCTGTGATGCAATCTCATGCCGTATGCGCATGAGCTACTCCAATTAAATGTGTGATGATGGCTCTCTGCCATCCTGAAGTGTGAGTAGTTATTTTTATCCTTTGTTTTCCATGTCTTCAAGTCTCACTTCTCACATTTCTCCCTCATTTCTCGTCTCTTGCTCGCATCACACCATTTTCTCACTCCAGGAATGGATAGCACATGCAGGAGATCATGCACATCTAATAATAAAGCGATGGTTTGTGGGGATTGAGTGAGAGCAAGAAGGGAAAATGCCTAGGTTTAGGGAAAAATAGGAATGTCATTAATAATAAGTGGTTCTTGATGTTGTTAGATGGTCTGTGAAAGGTTTAGGTGATTGGATGAGTGTTGTAATGTACCTCTTTAGGTGAATTAGGTGATTGTCATGACTGACAGTAGGTGGTTATGCCTAGATGTTAAAATCATATAGGCTAAACACAAGTGTGTAAGTGAAAAGAGAGATTAGCATGAGAAAAATAATGCGGAATGGAATTTCCAGTGTCTCAATGTAATTGGTGGAGCATTAGGGTTCCTTGGCGCGCTTGCTGACAGACTGCTTACGTCTGCACAGAGCGAACGCGGACAAAAATTGTAAATACGTGCGTCGAATCAGCTGTCAGAAAGGTGGAGGCAAGGGCAGGCATAAAAATGTAAACGTAACAACGGCATAACAACAGTCGGTGGAATTTATATTTAGTATGGCGAGGGCAGAAAATGTCTCCCTTCACAAAAACAGCAGCACGATCCAACGTTTCAGGAGAGCGAGGCGCGCATCAGAACGGAATCAGTAGCTCGCCATCTGCTTCTCCGTTGACCGACGAGCTCTGAAGCAAGAATATTAATATTAATATCAGCGCGAAGTGCGCCTCCACCGCCGACGTGTTTATCTGCGGGCTCTGCGTTCATTACCGTGAAGTCGTCTCTCGGTTAGCGTGCAGGCACTAACAGACTGCATTTGTGAATGGTTCCATGGGCCTGCTTTGAACGGATGTTTTTTTTCCTTCCCTAAAGTCGCAGTGAACTGCACCATGGATAGCGAAGCGCTTTCTCATCGTGCTCCGCGCTGAGGGTGAATGGGGATGAGG